CTACTGAGTGTTTTGACAGCTCACTAACTTCCCTGGACTAAATTATTGGATGTAGCTCAATCACAATTAACTTTTTTGGGGGGAGGAGTAGAGGTAGGAGTTTATACTGGGGTTTGAACCCAGGGTCTTACACTTGTGAGGCAGGTGTTCTACTGCTTGAATTATGCCTCATTTTCCCCTATTTCATGATTTTGAAAAGAGCAGGTGTGATGGATTCATGCAGCTTTCTAATCCTAACAAAAGGCTAACCCATTTTCAATCAATATTTCTGGATTAAAAAAAAATCAGCCTTATCTAACTATCACCTTATCTTAAATAACTGGCACTGTTTTCTCTTTCTCATTGGGAGCAAAACAGGTATGAGTTCTACCCTCATGAAGCTTCAGACTAATTAGAGATACAGACATAGAACAGAAAGCTTAACGATTATTGTTTGTGATAGGTGCTGCAATTAAAAGGGCCAGGGAGGACCAAAAGACCAAAAATCGTATGTTCTCCCTCATATGCGGACATTAGATCAAGGGCAAACACAAGGGGATTGGACTTTGATCACATGATAAAAGCGAGAGCACACAAGGGAGGGGTGAGGACAGGTAAGACACCTAAAAAATTAGCTAGCATTTGTTGCCCTCAATGCAGAGAAACTAAAGCAGATACTTTAAAGCAACTGAGGCCAATAGGAGAAGGGGACCAGGAACTAGAGAAAAGGTTAGTTCAAGAAGAATTAACTTAGAAGGCAACACACATGCACAGGAAATCAATGTGAGTCAACTTCCTGTATAGCTATCCTTATCTAAACTAGCAAAAACCCTTGGTCCTTTCTATTATTGCTTATACTCTCTCTTCAACAAAATTAAGAGATAAGGGCAAAATAGTTTCTGCCAGGTAGTGAGGGGGTAGGGGGGAGAGGAGGGGGCAAGGAGGTAAGGGAGGGGGTGGGGGAAGAGGGGAAAAATGACCCAAACATTGTATGCACATATGAAGAAAATAAAAATTAAAAATAAATAAATAAATAAATAAAAGGGCCAGGGAAATATCTCACCTAACAGAGGGGTAACATCATGTAGGGACCAGCAGTGTCATGTAACAGGGACATAAATGAGGCTCTCATCTGACCTAATCTACATGGCAAGAGAAGATTTCACTGAGAAAGTGGCAGGTGATATTTGAAGAAGAAACAGGGAGGGGAGAGTGTAAGAGTGACTTATGTGGACAAAGCCCCCGAGTTCAGCAACAGCAGAGGAACTTCTGCTGAAAGCTGAGCCAGAAAAGTAAGGAGAGCCAGACACTGCACACAGATCACATGAAGGACTTGGAATGTTATCCTCAATAGAAACCACTGATGAATTTTGAAAAGAAAATATTTTAATTTTCATTTGTAATAGGTCCCACTATTTGGAGACTGGCTGGAGCAGGCAGGGGCGGGGGCAAGACAATGTGAAGATGAAGAAGAACAACCTGATAGTTCTGGTAAGGAACCAGGTTTCATGCCTAAGAGTGGGGCAGTCATTTATGAGGCAGAAACAGCAGGACTTGTCAATTGGTCGTATCAGGGACGAGGTGTCCAAAACGGCTTCCAGACTTCTGGCACAACAGTCTTAGGGGCCACTGGTGCCATTTACTGAGAAAAACGGGGAGGAGGGCAGCTCATGCTGTGCTGTTGGGCACACTGGTCCAGCAATCAGAAGCCAGGACTATACCAAGTACAGAATATGTCAAGATACCACATGTGGCCATGGAGAGGGTGGGCAGCCTCTCCTGCTAACTCTTCCAAACTGACTCACAATGTGCTAGGAAAAATACCATCTGCATGTCTTACTCTATCAGGTAAAGGGAAACAATAAAACATGTAATATAATAAGAAATGAAAAGTTTCTCCGAGTATTCTGTTGCTTTAGAAAGACACCAGAAGTTGTTTTAGAGTAACAATAATTAAAACAATACCTTAGAGCCCCTGGGACCCTAAGTAAGAACTCAGAAGTAGAACCACACATAAGTAAGACCTTTCTCTCTGACCAAGCAGCAGTCATCACAGTGAAGGAAAAAGGGATAGTGTAGGTTGTCTTAAAGGGAGAAAAGGTGCACACCTCCTATTTTACAGAAAATGATTCTGCACAGTGCAAAGATTGAAATGCCACAAAACTTTTAAGAAGAAAACACAGGCAAATAATGACTCTGTAGTATGATGTACTTCCTAAACTAGAAAAGGCACAAACCAGAAGGCCAAAGAAAAACTTAATTCACCTCATTAAAATGTAGACTTCCACTCTTGAAAGCAGTATCATCAAGAACAACATCGTTCCAACATATAACGAAGAAAGGAGGACAGATGAGCGAGTCCTACAAGTCAGTAAGAAAAAAGACAAGCCCACCCTTGTGATGTACTTATCAGGTCATTTTCTTTTCCCTATGTCATTTTTGGGGAAAAAAAAAAGAGGCACACACGTCATATAGGAAAGAGCAAAACATGTACCCATCTGCGGCACTACTCCACCTGGTCGTGTAAGCATTACAACCTCTTTGGGGAACAATTCTGTCAATATCCCTAAAACTTTTTTTGACTTGGCAAATGCACTTCCAGGGAGAGACTCGCACACAGGACTTTCCCTGTAAACTGTTCCTGGCAAGAAAACGAACAATTTAAAATGCCCCAAAATAGGAGTTAATTATAAATAAACAACCTCTGTACAATGTAATCTGATATAGAGTTATACAACAACAGGGAATTATCATGAAGCTGTTACATGACAAAAATCAAGGTACAGAATATTAAAAAGGGGTGCAGGCTAGAAGGAAGAGCGTGGAGAAATGTTGACACCTATGGGCACAAGCTATTTCTGTAGGAACCAGACACCAGAGCGAGAAGCAACCACTGGGAAGATCACAGGACTGGAATTGAAGACTAGCCACTTCCTCCACTGGACAGTACACAGTCCAGTGTACTGTTTAATCTAGTTTTAACCATGTATGCATTTATCACTGTTTCAAAAAATAAAATCTCCTGCTAAGGAAATTTCATGCTTTCTCAAAAGCCAAAAAGAAAAAGATACAGAATGGAAAAACAAATGATAGTATGTTCACATTAATAAACACTGCATTGAAAAGAACAGAGTAAACCTGTGTGTATTAATATAGAACTCATGTTAGGTTTCCTTCTGGAGTAGTGACAATATTCTAAAATTGACTATGGTGATGAATGCCCAACTCTATGAATATACTAAAAGACATCACAGGGTACACTTTAAATGAGTGAAGTGTAGAGTGCTATGGAGTTTACTTTTTTTTTTTTTTTTTGTGGTTCTGGGGCTCAAACCCAGGGCCTCACACATTAAGCATGTTATCAGTGAACTATGCCCCCAGCCTGTGAATTATGTCAATGAAGATGCACACACACACACACACACACACACACACACACACACACAGAGAGAGAAAGAAAGAGAGAGACAGAGACAGAGAAGGAAAAAGGGAGGAGGGAGGGAACATTTTCCCTTTTACACTCCTCATTGGTTTCTGGACAAGGGCATGCAAACAAGGACTGGGTGCTGATCAAATGGGACCTGGGCTTTATCAGCAATTTATTTGAAGACATGCTTTATTTGTTTTCAGAAGATAATAATCATGCATTAAATGTATTAATATTTGAACTTTTTCTTTTTAATTGATATTTTTAAGTGAGGCTGACAGAATAGAAAGTAACAGGACTAGATACAATAAAAAAATGAGTCTTCATCTTGGTCTGAATTTTCTAAGTACTGCCGCAGTTTGAAGTGTTCTGATCCTACACTCACCTTTTGTTTTTTCCTTAGATCTTTCACCTAGTATTTCATTTACATTTCTCCTTAATTAAGTTCAGAACTGAGGTTTTCAACTTGTAAGGGGAAATGACTTGGAAAGACAGCTACAAAGTCAGCACAGGCCAGTGCTTCTCTGGTCCTGCCGACAGCCAGGCATATAACTCCCATTTCCAGGCCTCTGGGACGTGACTATTCCTAGTCTCAGGTTTGGTCTCATCTTGCAATTAGCTCATGCCCATAACCTCTGTGTTTATGTAATACACATGATCCTCATAAGAACTGTGGGAATTCTAACATTTTTCTACCTTCAGAACATAAGCAAGATTGGTTGGTCTTGTAACAAAACACACCCTACGAATGAAATGCAATAGTTGCTAATGACCAATTCAGCCCTAAAATGGTACATGTGTAACTTAAGTACCAACCAAGCTGCTTTACACCACAATTTATAGAGATAATGGAGGTATAAATGATAAACTAGATGTAATTCATCTTTAAGAAAATAAGTTGAAGTTCAACTTGAGGAAAAGTAAACTGGTCTGGGGTAACTATTAGTTAAAAAACCTTAAGGAAGTAATTGACAGTTTTTGAAAAAAAAGATTAGAATGTCAAACGTAGTTCCAACTACATTTATTTATTCATCCAAAACTAGACCTCAAATAACCAATCTTTTTGTACAATACCTAGAAGCCATGTGCAGTTCTGGAAAAGGCAAGTACTCTGAAACAACAATAATAAAAGAAAGCATCCAGAATAAAAAGAGAGGTTAAGTCAAATTGTAAGGGATCATTATGGCCAAGATGTTTAAAGGGGACCTGTCCTAGGTCCCTCTGCTTGAGCAATTACAAGTAGGGGAAACTTGTGCAAGTCTCAAGTTGCAGGAGCCACAACTACTTCTGCTTCTAGAAGAATCAGAAGTAACTACCTGGCCCCAAGAAGTGTGTTCAGTTGAACTAACTTGGGGAAACCTGGCTAGACATATATAGGCAGGGGAAAAAGCCCATTTACCAAACTCATCTTTTATATAAACTCAGCATTTTGTTTACAAAAATTGTCATAAAAGGGTGAGATAAAACACTGAATATTAAAAGAAAAGCATTTTTAAAAAATCACATACATACACATACACATTTTAAACTAAACATGATTTCATTTAAAGTTTCTTCTTGGGGAAAAAAAAAAGGTTTGCTGCTAGTAACTCACCTCCATGTTCCAGAAATACTCGAACACATCTTTCCTTCCCTCTTGCTGCAGAGAAATGAAGCAGGGTCCAGCCATTAGCATCTCGGCCATTTGGAGAATAGCCTTGCTCTAACATCTTTCGTACTGTGTGAACATCCCCGGCAGCCACTGCTGCCTGAATCTGCAATTCTTCCTGGAGTTCAGGGTTCCTTCGACAGTGGTGGTGTAACATCCTAGCTGAGTCCACTTTTTACAAAGGATTCATTAAGTCACAGGAATCAGCCTTTCAAGGAAGGCAGAACATAGAAAATTTAGAATATTTGGCTGCTGATACTGTGGCCATTAAATATCACAGAACTGGCTACTTGCTAAATCTCTTACCCAAGCAACAACTGTTCAGTATTACTGGTTAATAAGTATCTCTTAAGATCAAAACTTTCAACAATTTTGCTATGATGAGAAATGATTAAGAAAATCAGCCATAACCCCTGAACTCCTGGAACAGAAATTTCTTCTGTAACCTTTTGAAAACTCAAACAATCTATGAACATAACATCTTTATGTTTGGTAAAATGGAAGGTGACATCAGGCAGCTACAAAATGACAGGTACCTAAAGGGTCTTAAAAGGTCTGATTTATAGCCAGGCACCATGGCTCACACCTGTAATCCTAGCTACTCAGGAAGCAGAGATCAGGAGGATTGCAGTTTGAAGCTAGCCTTTCATGAAACCCTATCTCAAAAAAACCCATCACAAAAAAAGGGCTGGTGGAGTGGCTCAAGGTGTAGGCCCAAGTTCAAGCCCGAGTACTGATAAAAAAAAAAAAAAAGGTCTATTTACATGGTACACCATGGAGGAGATTTAAGTCAACAACTTTATGCAGGTCAGAGTTAGTAAACAAGGAGCACCAAATGAGCAACCCATTATACTATCAAGACTAAAGACACTTAATTAGGAGAAATTTAAAAAGGAAAGGAAAAAACCTTCAAGCTGCTTCTGTAGTTCAACAATATCTTATTTTTAACTCAAGGTGTGGAAGGCTGAGGGGAAAAGGAGACTGGCTAGGTAAATCAGAGTAAAATGAATTCTATTTCTCTTCCTTTTGGCTATTTGTTTTTTTCTACCAGTTATTTCCACATTAGGTTATTTGATACATGATTTTTAAACTTCCATGTCCTCTAACATTCTTCTAATTTCTGTTTCTAGTAGTTTTTCTCTATAAATATTAAAAGTAGCCAAGATCAACATACAACATATTTTAAAACTAAGAATCTAGACAACCTGTTGATTTTCTAAATGATAAAATTATTTTAAAGGGAAAGTAGTACAAGCCAGGTGCTGATGGCTCACGCCTGTAATCCTAGCAACTTGGGAGGCTGATATTGGAAGGATATTAGTTTGAGGCCAGCCCAGGCAAACAGTTCATGAGACCCCTATCTGCAAAATAATCACAGCAAAATGGATTGGAGGTGTAGTGCAAGTGGTACAGTGCCCACTTTGCAAGCATGAAGCTGAGTTCAAAATCCCAGCCCCACCAAAAAAAAAAAAAAAGAAAAGGAAATTCACAGAATCTGTAATCTCTAAGTCATAAAAATATGTACTCAAAACCAATATAAAAATGGATCTCCCTTTTGCAAACAGGAAAAGTTCAAAGTGTTGCACTGTCAAAATGTGCACACAAAAAACTACGTGCGTGTGTTTTAAGCTTTTAAGTACATACAGAAACTTCAATGAGCTTCCAAGAAGACATTCAAATTGGGCTAACTTGAAAGAAGAGATTAGATTCCATCTCTCAATCAGTAGCTTCCATTTCTAAAAATAAAAGGAATTACGTTGACAAAGCCCTTTTTAAACATTTGTTATCATATGTAGGTTAGACATCTCAGGATAATTTTGCTACCTATAATAATTTACTTTGCGTTATAGGCTGTACACAAATAAACTAAGCCTACTGTAAACTGAATCATCACAGCTTAAGAATACAAATATCTGATGTGGTTTCATACCCAGAAAAATGATGTCAATAAATACTCAAAATACTACTACTACTAAGTGATAGTTTAAAAACATCAAACTACTGTTACAAATAGTTATTTCCTCAAAAAAAACTGAAAAATGAGAAATTTCGTGACAATTTGTTCTCTTGATAAATGAGGTTTTCCCCTTCTCTCACTTAGTTACTTCACTGAAATTAAGTCTCTTGTGTTAGAAATTTCACACACACACACACACACACACACACACACACACACACCCCTCTCAGGATAGGTATTCGAATATTCTCAGTATTGTTGAAGATCAGAAGGAATTCATGGAAACTATGACTATACATTCATGACAATCATCTTTAACAGTGTTTTTAAATGGGAGAATTATCTTGGCATTAAGGAGGTCTGCTATGCAAGAAAAAGATCATAAGAATATCAGAACAAACCTAGGTTTCCTTTTAGTGAGTGCTGTACTTAGTATACGTTACCTGATTTATGTTTTGAAAAATTCATAATCTCTTCCAAATTTCTTTTTTTGCTTTTTTTTTGGAGTTGTGGATTGAATACAAGGCCTTATTCATGCTAAGCATGCACTCTACCAGTGAGCTACACCTCCAGACCCCTGTATTAGCTGATTTCAAGGAGAAAAGTCAAAGCTAAACGGGTTTTCCCTCAAAATAGCATGGATGACTGGTAAGCCTGAGTCATCTTACCTGATGGAAGAGTGTCCCTTCTCCTGGTGTATGGGCTGCCTAACAACCATTGTGCACATACAGCATCATGAGGACAGCGTTGAGTGCGTCCAGCCTGCAGGGCAAAGAGCCTTCTTAACCATCACGAGAAAATCCCCTCACAACAATAAGGAATCAAAGCTGCCTGCACAGTCTAATTTTTGATGAGTTTAAATTTTAGCACTTTACAACAAATCTACAGAGAGAAGCTCAGATAAACTCTTAAGAGAAACTGACCTTATTATTTATAATACTCCCTAAGGTGGCATATAAAATATGACTTACCTTTAGGATTTTTCTCCCCAAAATGTACTTGTTTAAAAAGAGTAAATGAAGAAAACAGTAAATCACCATTATGGATTTGGATGCAAACAGAGATCTTTCTTTTTCCTCTGCTAGCAATGTATTTTCAGGCTTGTTTTGTTTGAATTACTTTTGAAGTGACACCATTTGTCACTTGCTCTTTTTAATAGGACTGAAAAGGAGAATATGTGTGTCTTCAACACAATAGGTACCCAGGGCCAAATGTAATCTGTGACAAAAGGAGATGAAGCTTTCAGTGCTGGTTCATCATATGCCCATAAGGCATGAAGTCAAGGTTTACACTGCTATTCCTTTTGCATATAACAAACTAGGTAAAACATTAACAAGACTTGGCCAGCTTCCCCAAGTGAAATTCAGAAACAAAACATCTACAACTAAAAGAAAAGAGCTCTTTCTCAGGTGAGGACACATGAAAAGTGACTTCCATACATCACAACAGATTCGGGGCTGGAATTATGTATTGGAAGAATGGTGTGGTGGGAATGCCAAACCCTTTGTTGCTTAAACCCCCAGGCCAGGAAATGACAGGTCACCTGCCAACGTGACAGGCTACAGCAGAAAAGTGGCAGTTGTAGGTGCTGTTGTCTGCACACTGAATTCTCAACCAATGCAAATTAGTATAGTCTATGTCTTCCTTTTTACATCTTATTTTTCCTTATAAAATTCTCCAAGGAAGGCAATGACTGTCTACTTGCATTTGAAAAAGTATTATTTCTAAATAAATAAAGCCGACATGATCAGAGTAACTCCTGCAAGGCAGAGTGAATAATGTAGAACAATCCTTACAGAATGTTTGATTCTGAGACTGAGGCAGGAAACACAAGATGAGCCTGGAGCCTCTTTGAAGGGAAGGAAGCACTCAAAGGCTCTAAGAAAAACACAAGGATGGGTATATCACAGGGACAAAAGAGTCAACTGAAAGAGCCCTCAATGGTAAAACATGGTACAAGGAAATACTTCAAACAATACTGGACTATAACCCAAAGTACAAAATAAACACGGAGTACATATTGATGTAAGTAACTGGCTGCACAGAGGGAGAGAAACAAAATTAAAAATTAGAATTAGAAAAAACTGTATAGACAGTATCCCTTAAAAGAAGGGACATATTAACATAAAATATTCAGTCTATGGAATTCTGTACAATTACTCTTTGTAATTTTTCTAAACTATGCTAAGAGAAACTCTTTTTAAAATGCAGATCAGTATTTTCCACGATGAGCTGCACATTCAGGCACAGTATTGTATGATGGTTTAGTATTCTCCACTTCACAGCCATCCACATGTCAACAAGGGGCATCACCAGACGCCTTACTTCTAAGTGTGTCCTCAGCAACCCCGCCTCCCAAGAGAAACGGAAATGTGGGTCTAAGCCTGCAACAACTCTTATGGTGGTTGTTGGCTTCCAAACACCCATCATCACTTCCATAGAGGCAGCTGGGCATGATGGGGAAGAGGACATGAGAGCTGGGAGTTGTACAGAACATGTAACAGCACTTATTAGTAATATCTGGAGAAGGGTGGATGTTAAAAGATGAAGTGACTAGGTTACTTCTCCCCACAAGAAACACCTAGGAACAATAGTACCCTGGGATACTTCCATTCAATAATTCAATCAGATAAATAAATGTCGACTGAATGTTTGACATGTGCCCAGCACAGTCATTTAAAATTTAAAATTTTTAATTAAAAATTTTTTTAAATCAATTTTTAAAAATCCTACATGTTTTCTCATATTACTAGGTACCATAAATCAACTTTAAACGAAAAATGCACTCCCTGCATGTACCCAGCCTGTCAATCTTACAGAGAAAAGCATACACACATGGACTGAATTATGAAAGATAATGACTTACTACCAAAGTACCCCAATAGTGTAAAGCACCTGATGAGTCATTAATGCTCACTTGGTGTCACTTTGTAAGAGCTGCACCTTCAACAGCACAGCTACTCAAGTGTGTATAAATAAAGAGGGGGGAAAAAAGACTTAATGGAACCCAAGGACAAGTGCAATATCCAGTGGTAAAGGTGCCTATTAAAACCATCAAACAGGTCCACAGGTGAGAATGGGTAACAGCCTACTTCCCCTTTGGGAGTGCAAGTTTAAGAATCTGATGGTTCATGGAAGTCACCTGTAAAACACAGAGAACGCGGCAAGGAGGCAATTTTCTAAATAATGCACATTCGATGTGAGGCTGTCTTTAGTTAATGACTTGTGGACTCAGATACTACCGACACTCTGAGGATACAAGCTTTAGAATCTACTCGAGGTTTCACAGTCAGGAAATATAAGGAAGCTTTGCAATCTGTACCAAAATCGACCACTTCCCTAATGTGGATCAGTTTTATATGAGACTTATTCTCCAATGTAAAGTGTGTTTATATTTTGCTAATTCATCTTTTCCACTCTGCATAGGATCAAAAGAAAATGACGTCGGCTTCCATAACTTTATACTGTTGACCACATTAGAAAATACAAATTTAGGAACTAAGATAAATTACTGTATCACTCTATTTCCATACAGATGCCAAGAGAATTTCATTTAGTTAAACCCAAAACTTCATAGTTAAAAGAAAGTCTGTAGTGACAGATTTACTTATACCTGTCCAGAATTTAAAACCTGTCCAAAATTACATAGCCTTCACCAAATCTGACCATATTTCCTCGATTTGCTTTGGCATAAGACTAGACATTAATGGCATTTTACATATTATTGTCACTACAGAGTTCACACTTTTTTTTTAAGTAATACAAAATAGAACTGTGTTTTCTGACTTCCCACAAACTAGAAACAAGGTAATGAATTGCGACTCAAAAACAGAGTTTTTTTTTTTTTTTTTTTTTTGCAGTATAAAGAAAGATACAGATGGTGAGGAAATAAACCCAGCAACTCCAAGGATACTGGCTCTAAGGGTGGGGGGGCGGGAATCCACCAATGGCTTCCAAGGCCCAAGAAGGAAGATGGACGCAGAAACACTACATGGCCCAATCAAAGCACACAACTTGGTAGACATGCATGATGATGGGTTCTGCTTGTATTAAGAGCCTGCCACCCAAAATAAAGTGGAAGTATTATTTTAATGCCTATGGCCCAACATACCATAGTGTTTACATTCTTAAACAAGGGTATTGTATTTCCTTCAAATTACTGAGCCCTGTTTAACTTAAGGATTTATTACCTAAGACTCAGATGTTTTCATGAAAGGCAGATGAGGTAATGGAGGAAATTTTAGAATTCACTTATCCAGACATAGTTCAAAGTTTAAGTCACAAATATTATAAATGAGGCGGCCAATACAATCTTAGCAGCTTTATATGTCACTACTAGAAAGTCTGCAAGAACAGTACACCTAGGGAGTACATTCTATTGAGAGTGAAACACAAGGCTGAAAGTCAGGTAGTAGATATAATATAAACTACATCTGACTTTATTTAGACATTTTAGGGATGGTATCACCAAAGCTAAGTATAAACAAAATAAAGAGATATGGTATGTATCATAATGTTAAGTAATTGTGAATGACATCACTTCAGGTATAAAAATTACAAGTACTGGCCACAGTATACTAAAGATGACTGAATAGCATCAACTATTCTCCCTATGTGACTATAAATCTCTTTATTTGGTTACCAAATAAATCAGATGAGTCTTTTCCAAACCAAATGCCTGGAAATAGAATTAACACCATGTTGACTGCCAGACTGAAAATTTTAAACTGGCCAGGTTGTGGAGTAAATACCTAAATTAAATGTCTTAAATGTTTGGCATAATCTAGACCAAATATTCTCAATCATGTTAATTATCAGAAATAATTTATATATATTCCCTAGTCTTAGAAAAACTATTAAAAGCTGAGTAGACCCATGAAATATTATTTAAGCAATGAGAATGAACTGGCTGAAATCCAGGGGAAAGCAAGGTCCTCCCTTTACAAGTTTAACTAATAACAGGGTCCTACCTTCCCCTTGCCAATGACATGAAAATGTCCCTCACCTAGGAACTCTACAACATTCAAGGGTTAACTCTAAAGCAGCAAAAATGTTTCACAGAGAAGACTTGAGTGGAAAATACTTCATTTTGATCTTTAAAACACACCTCAAATATTTTAGCATTTAAAAAAAGTTCTAAAGTAATTATGAGGTACCACACTGCTTACTTCCATATTTAAATAATAAAAAGTAGCCTTTGATTTTACAGATTCCAGCCTTGGTTTTTACAGAAATGGTCAATTACCCCCCTTGATTCCTTCACACACACACACAGACAGCCCTAAATTTTCACCAACGAACAGTTATCGTTAGATGCTCTTTTTATTTTATTTTATTTTTTTATAGCCAGTGCTGTCCTCAAACTCTTGATCCTCTTGCCTTAGGAACGTCCTGTCTCGATCTCCTGAGTGCTGAGATTGTAGGCATGCACCACCATGTCGCCATGGTGCATACTAATTCTAAATCCCGTTCAGAACACATTCTCTGCATGGCATACAGTTCCAGGTCTCAAGACTATGCTATGTCTTGAGAATTAGTAAAATCAGTAGAGATGTTGGTTTCTTCTTGTGGAAGACAAAGTCCAAAGGAACAAAGTCAAAACTTCTCTAATTTAAGCACTTCTATATACCAAAAATTCCCCAAACATTCTGAGATACTAAAATAACTAAGGCTAACAAGTCACTTTATACTCTTGCTAGTGGATGTTAGAAAAAAAAAAAATCATTCACTTGACTGCTTTCTGAGTTAACTCTTCTGTCTGTGCGTACACATCTTTAGGTATTACATTCACGTCCTAAACTTACCTTTAATGCATGTTCAGAGGCACCAACAGAATATGCAGCAGAAATGTAACCACATGAGCTAGGTGCTTGAATTTCAATCTAGCAAATTCTCTGTAAGAGTTTTAAAAAAAGTTATTTATGACAATTGCCAAAACTAAGACCAGGATATCTAAATACACCAAAATATTCCTTTGTTTTTTTTAAATTCCTGACTTTCAAATGACTGTTAACAGGATACTATTTAAATTTTTGTAAATTCACCTGGAATACCCGAGGTGCAGCAAATATTATTACTTTAGAACAATTGCAGTGCCCCATCTACATTTATTACACACACAATACTCCAAAGACTTAACTGTAGGTAAATACTTCACTGGCTAACACTGCTTTCAAACAGTTCACTCTTCACCAGGAAAAAACATCAAATTATTTTCTGCAACTCATGAAATTAAGCCATTAACTTACCTTCCCCTACCAAACTACTGTTAGTTAGGTAACTCAAATGATTTCTTGATGCAGGTAGAGAAAAGGTGGTAAGATGGAAAAAAACAGTAAATTGTGGTTTAATTAAAAAGCAGAGTCATTCAAAATTAACAAGCAATTAATATGGAATTGAGGAATTCCTATGAGAGTAAGAAAGGGGGGGGAGGTACAAAAAGGTCTCAAAGCCTCAGAGCAGAGTAAATGACACGATGTATCAAAAGATAATGCAAAACATGGAAACACACTGAACAGGAAGGGAAAAAATACTCTTCTGGGGTAGGGAAGTTGTTAAGATGTTAAAGATCAGGCCTGGGCAGTGTTTTTGTCTTTGCTAGGAAACTGGGATCTAGCAAAAAGTGCATTCCCAGGCAACCATCCCGAAAATAAAGCATTGCTTAATGAGGTAGGGGCCAGGAATACACAATGGGGGAGGGGAGGGCTGGCTCATTACCTTTATAGAGGATGCTGGTCAGAGGCACTCTGGCTGCAGCTTCTCTGGGGTCGGGGGGAGGGCAGCCCCTTCAGCAGGTTCAAACCTGGCCACCAGAAACCAGTAAGTGGTGCAGTGCTCCAGGGGCGAGCAGAAGAGGGCTTTCGGGGGGTGGGCAAAGGAAAAGGCTGAAGAGTGGCACGGGCAGGCAGGCAAGAGCAGAGAGTCCTCCTTCCCACCCCCACAGCCCCCTCTCCCCGGGGGAAGTAACTGACTTTACCTGTCTCTTCAGCTGCTGCTTCTCTTCCTTCTTTCAGCCTCCGCCACATTCACCAACTTCTCCATTGAAGAAACACCCCAGGCAGGGCCGGACATGGGGTTCCTGATCCTCCTCGGTGCTTCACGGCCCCAGTCGGTGGAGCATCCAAACAGCCGAGCAGACTGGGGTTGGCGGTCCCCGTCGCCGGGCAGCCTTGGGGAAGGCTCGGTGGGGGGGGTATAGTCCGGGTCCAGGGGATCAGAGCAGGGGGCTGTCGCGTTCCGGGCCAGAAGCTTCCAGCTACTAAGGGACTCAGGAGGTCTTGGGACAGTGAGCTCCTAAGTCGTACAGGGTCTGAAGTGCTAGCAACGGGGTGTCTGGACAGGGGGCTTTCGGGATGCACTTTGCACTGGGCCACCCCCGCCCCCTCCCTCCAGCACTTTGGGGTCACTGGGATGGGACCAAACCTTCAGCAACCAATCAGCGGCCGCACTGGAGGCTGAGCCCGGAGCCGTAAACCAAGTCCGGGGTGGATGGGGGTGGGGGCGGGGGCAACTTGGTTGGTTGGTTGCTTGCTTCCTTCTCTTCTCTTTACACCAGCAGCCCCCACCCCCTGGTGCCGTAAAGCTGCCTGCGGATTCGCGACAGTTAGAGGAGGCGTGTTGATCGGGGCTGGGACTCGTCTCTGATTGGTCTCACTCACTTCCTCCCCCTCGGATTCCCCCCACCACGGCGGTGACTTTCGAGGCTCCGCCCCCCGCGGAGGGACTCGAAGCGGTTGCTAAGAGACACTGCGTGCCGAGTGGAGCGTCTGCGCATGCGGAAGGAGGGGATCAGCTCGTACTTTCCGCAAAGTACGGTGGCCGGGACCGGGCAGATGTGGACGCTGGCGGTGCTGCGAAGGCAAAGCAGCCTGAGACAGCTACCAGACAGGTAACCATGAGCGGTGGTTCAGTCAGCAGGCGGGAGAGACGGGTGTGCGGCCGACTGAGGGAGGCAACGGTCTCCAGGAAAGGAGGTGCAGGGGCCCTGGCCCGCCATTTCTCCTTGGCGCCTAAGGCTGGTCCTCTATGCATGGTCGTTCTCTGAGACTCCATTAGCTACCAGGATGAGGACGCCGCGCCTACCACCGTGTTTGGGATCGCGATGCCGGTTCAAGGGCTTTCCTCCAAGGATAGCGATCCTCACGGATTCCTGTGAAGGAAACGGACGGGAGAGTGGGGAAAAGAGGACTTGGGCCTATTAAGACGTGCGTATTAATTGCATGCATTTAGCAAGTGTTTACAGGCCCGGCTCTGTTGTTGTCGTTGGGGCAACAACAGATGAAGGAGATAAACGCAGTCACGTGTGCTTTCATTTTATCAAGGAGACAGAAAAAAAGACATAAAGACCAGCGATAGTTATATGGAGAAAACCGAGCAAAATAATGGGATCGATTTTGACTAGGTCGTGATGGGCTGCTTTAGGTAGTCAGAGCAGGCCTCCAAAAAGCGACATTTGAGCAACAGTTTGAATGACAAAGAGGGGAAGAAATTTGCAGGTAGAGCGAATCAAAATTGCAAAACCTCTGATGCTGGAATAAGTTTGGCTGCTTTACAACGAAAGAAACTGAAGAAAGGCGACCACCATAGCCGAAGCAGAGTGAGGGGGAGATTGATTGGAATGAGATTAAGGGGTGTGGGCAGCCCGTATGTCTTGCAGGTCCTTATCAGCAATGGCAGAGGAATTGTAGTCTCTGATTTATGTTTTGAAAAAATCATTGGCTGATCAATAGAGATGACTGTCTTGGGTAGCTGATTACTGCAAATGTGGAAAGCTGTTGTAGTTGTCCAGGCAAGAGATGGTGTTGTCTCAGACTAAGGTCACCTAATACAACAGACATTTGACTACCACCAATGTCCTCAAAAAAGAAAAGGCCTACTAGATTGCAGGTGCAGGAAGTATTTTAATCTATAAGCTAGTTTTATGTAATAAAATATATTAAGGTGTTTTGTTGACAGTGGGGATCAAAAGCGATCAATTTCCACTCCCCCTCCCATTGTCTTCTACACTGATAATTTATTCAAAAATACTTGTTTGGGGTCTTCCACATGGGCTACATAAAGTCTTATGTGGGCATACTGGGCTCAGTCCTGTCCAAGGAGGCTCATAGACATGTGGGGTTGGAGGGACCAAACTCGAAACATTTGAGGGCAGTACAGAATGTAAATGCTGTGGTATTGATTGGAGGAACATTTGGCAGGACTGCTTGATCCTGACTTGACTATGTAGAAGGCTTCCTGGGGCTGATTTCCAAGTTGAAGGTGGGTGGGAGAAGGTTGAGTGTGATTTAGTCAGAAAGAGTGGGCTAGAGAAAGCTTGGGAGTCCTTAGAGGATGCAGACTTTCCCAGGACCTCAGAGAAAGCTTGGAGATTAGTGAATGGGCATAGAAGTGAAGAGACCTGAACAGTCAGATCTTGAAGGGCCTGCTAGGCCATGTTTAGGGGGCTTGGATTTTATCCTAAGGAAAGGAAAAAGTTTTTTCAGAAGGGAGTGGAGGTAGGATGGGTCAAGATACAACCACTTAGAAAGGAATCTTTTGGGAGTTGTCCAGGGTAAAAGTTGGACACTGCAACAGTAGCAGTGAGGATAGAAGTGGGGTGAGAAATGGTCCCAAGTTGCCAAGGTTTCTGGCTTTGTTAACTAGGAGACACGGATGTCATATAGTGACCTGAGGAGTGCAGGAGAAAGTGAGTTTGAGGTGAGATGGAGTGAGTTGAGTTTGAGCTGCATGTACATATGGGACCTCCAAGTGGAACTCTGCAGGAGGCACGTAGGTACTTAGGTACTGACAGTCCTTGATTTATGATGGTTCCATTTAACGGTGGTTCTGCTTACCATAAGTGTTCAGTAGAAACTGCATCATCAGATTCTAAAGTTTGAATCTTTCCCAGGCTAACAATATACAGTCTGATTGTGTGTGCATTTGCTGGGCAGTGGCAGTGAGTCATGACTCCCAGTCACCCACAGCATTACCAGGGGAGACATTCCTTTTTAGTGTACTTTATTGCTAACATTTGTCGGATATTGTGTTTTGTGTTCTTACATCCCATCACATCTGGAAAAGGCCCATCTGTGTCTCCTGTACCCATACAGACATTCTGGTTTTCCTTTTCAGTACAGTATTCAGTAAACGACCTGAGGTGTTCATCACTTCGGTATAAAATAGGTTTTGCGTTAGAAGAGCTTGCTCAACTATGGGCTGATGTAAATGTCCTGAGCACGTTTATGGTAGGCAAGATCAAGCTGTGATGTTCAGTAGGTTATGTGCAGTAAATGCATTTTCAGTTTAGGATGGATTTGTTGGGATTAACACCAGCATAAGTCAGAACATCTGTATAGAGCCCAGAAATGCTACACTTTCACTGTAGAGGTAATACAGTTCATGAAATTGTTCTAAGAGGGAGGGGACTGAACACTTACAGTCTCAACCCTTAAGAGACAAAGAGAGGAAGAGGATCCAGCAAGGGTGACTGAGAAGGACCTTCCAGAGAGGAAGAAGGAGCTCCAACAAAGACTAACTTGTCAAGGACTAATACTGGATTATTGATCCTGAGTTCATGTCCTGGAGAAGTCAATAATTGAAGGCACAGGAGTAGAGTTAAGATTAAAGCAAGCACAAAGTTTATTGAAAGGATAGCAAAAGACCCTGGCAGTGGGACTTAGTGAAAGAGCTAAGCTGTAGTATGGCTGGAGTCTATGGGGCTCTACTGGGCACAGGTCCAACTCCTCCACCTTGCAACTGTGTTTGTGATTGGTTGGCACCGAGTCAGGTTCTCTCTGAACTCAGCCACCTGTCCGTCCCTCTCCTTATCGAACTGAGCATTCTAAGAAGGTCTGGTCAGCTCGTCCTGGCCTTGGAGGTCTGGTCAGCTCATCCTGGCCTTGGGCCCATTACCCACTTTGTGCAGCTGCATGTTATTTTGGTGAGGGATTTGTCATTTCTCTCAGAAGCCTGTTCATTCCCAGACCTCATTAGATGTCTGCTTTTAAAGTGCCTCTCTCATCCAAAATGGAGTCACCTCTGTCATTGCTCCCCTTCGGGACTACTACTGTGCTTTTAGAAAAGGGCAGAAATGTTTTCAGTGGAGAACGGTTATTATCTGCATGAGCATAGGCCTGTGTTTCCTTTACAGAATCTGCCCCCTTGGCCCAGGATGCTATGGAGGCAATTAAAGTGGAAAAAACATGGACTTGTAAAGAGAAGGGAATGGAAAAGTGCATTTTAAAGTCCAAATACCCACATGATAGAGAAGGCACTTGAACCTTCTGGATTAATGATTGAATTAACATTTACATATAGTGAACCCTCTTCTATGTAAGACTTTTTAGAAAATACAAATTCTTACGACATCTTTATTAACCATTTGTTTGGATTAGAAAAAAAAAAAAAAACCTTTTGCTCCAGTAAAATCCAGGTTGCAAATCATCCCCTAGAGTTATATGACTGTATATTCAAAAGAATATAAACCGTTTGGTAAGCAGTTTAGAAGAAAGATTTCAAGAAGAGTGTGGGACAGCTAGGTGGGTGCAATGGTTCATGCCTGCTATCCAAACTGATTGGGAGGATCATGGTTGGAAGGTTAGTGAGACTCCATCACAACAAACAAGCTGGGCATGGGATTTCACTTCTGTAGTATGCTGGAGGTATAGGTAGGAGGATCAAGGTCCAAAGCCAGTCCCAGGCAAGAGAGCACAAACCCTGAAAATTAACCTTGAAGCCAAAAAAAAAAGCAAAATAGAGGATTCACAGTAAGCAATTAGAATGGGCCCAGTGGGTTAGAGTCAGCATAAGAATGTCCTGTTTTAACCCTATAAAGAAAGTAACTTTAAAATGACTAATCTATGTTTTTACTCTGTGTTTATGTTTCTGCCTGTAAAGCCCAGGTCTGCTGCTTAGCTCATTGGAACACCTTTCCTAAATCTTTAGCTGGAGTTTGGGGATGTGGCTCAGTGACGGAGCACTTGTCTAGCTCCATCACGAGGACATCCATAGGACCTGGGCTCTATCCCCAACAGCACACACACACATACACACAAAGTCTATAAATGAGATGTTGCCTGATTTATGAATTTCTGAACAAAATCTATTAGACCTTTAAATTTGTTGACATTTTCCTTTTTAATAGCGCTAATGTAATTTACAAGTTACAGAAATTTACTAATTACGGAATCAGGCAGTTTTGAACCCCATGAAGAAGGACAGAGAGGGAGAGAGAAGTGAGCAAATGTATGAAAAGTTGTAGTGAACATACTGTCTTAAACAGCTCCACGCGCACGTGGTTCATGGAGCATTTGTTAAATGCTGTGTCCTCTGAAAGATGAAGGCCCAAGGGGCCTAGTCACCCAGTTGTCTAAATTGTCTTCTGTATTTCTGGTCTTTTT